TAAATGACGTCACATCCGGCTAAGAAATCAACATCTCGCTAATTGGCAACTCAGTAGTGGCGGCCGAAAAATTTGCATGTTTGCGTTGAAAAAAAAGGCAGAAGGAAATGGAATTGGACGCTGATATTTGGTAATTTTGTTTATCTACTGACATACTTTCTGAATATACAATAAAAAGACAACACAATTTTCCATCGCAGTGGCACTTTAAACGAATTGTTTAATACATTTTTGCTGAAATATCATGCCTGTTTGTATGGATAGATTTTACATATATGTGACTGCATACAATAGTTAGATATTTTTCAATTTTCATCTGTAAAATATTGCCATATTTGTGTGTTGTTCTAGTATTACTGTAAATGGTGACACACTTTTGCATTGGATTGCTAATTTTAGAGATTACAGTGTATGTATAAAATAATAAAATAGAAAATTTCTTGTTATGATTTTGTAGATGGCCATGATGGATATGGTAATGAACTAATGAAGGTGATAAGGCAGAAAGTGATGACCAGTTAAGTTATGAGGATTAAAGTGACGAGGATGAAATCACCCATACTGTACCATTCAAGTGAATCGGTGCTGCTCATGAGAAAAATTACCGACATCATTTGGAACAGGCATGCCTTGCTCGTCATGGACAAGATAAACCAATGAATGTAAGAATACAGTCAGAGCCATTGAATCCAATGGACCCAAGTGCAATTGATGTAGACTATGGAACTGGGTGGACACATGTGATGTTGGCTATATTGCTTCTGAATTATGCAAGTATTTGCACCCACTAATTGCCGCAGGAGATATCTTAGAGGTCTATGTTCAGTATATAAAGTATAGGGTTGACTTTTTTTAAATAGGATTTTATCTAAAATTTTTCATAAAGTGACATGGTCAGTGGCCAGAGTGGGAGACTCAAGTGGTAAAGAGGAGCATGAGTGTATGTTGACAGATGTTTGTGATATAATAGTAACTGACTAGGTTTAGCAAGTTATACAGCAGAAATGATGTTATTTAAATTATCATTTTGGCCAACTTTTTAGATTTTTTCAACATTTTTACCTTTCACTTTATCGCCAAACAAAAATAATTTAATTTACTGTTGATGCAATGGAAGTGTTGATAAAATATTGCATGAATTCATTTCGTCAAGTTGATAAATTCATACGAATTCTAATTTCTTTTTACTTCCTGTGTGTTTCCTATTGGTCAATCGGTTCTGAAACGAAATCTAATTGGCTCATTTAAAAGTAACAGGAAGTTTATCAATTTTCTATCAAATGAATTGATGAACTTGAGGAAGGAATTGGTGCAATATTTTATCAACACTTCCATTGCATTGACAGTAAGCAGGTGGGTATCTATAAGAAAACAATATCTGTCATGTGCACTTGTGCAACTCCCTCAAAAATAGCAATATTGGGTTTTTTTTAAAAATAATAATTTATTATTAGGACACCAATATGGTTCTCATTAAAAAACCATGTGCTATAAATAAATGCATCTACCTATTTCGAGACTGAATATAATTTATTTTGTCAAGCCATTTGAA